TAAGTATCGTGAACTTATTGAGAAAGAGCAAGCCAAACACAAAACTGAGATTGAAAAGCTAATTTGTTCACTCCAAAACGAATTAAAGGATTCACAGAAGACTAATTCTATAGTGAAATCATTACAAACTCAATTAGAGGATTCCCGTGCTATTAATGAACTATTGAAAAGAAATTATGAATCTCTAATAGAAGAGAATAAAATATTGCGTGAAAATATTCGTAGAGCTGAGTTAGAAAAAGGGACACAACTGGAATTTGTAAAAAAATTGGGTCACGAGATTGCAATGAATTCTGGGTTAGAAAATGATTTATCAAAATCATCATTACCTCAAGTGACTCGAAACGGACATTCAAACCAAATTTCTGAACCAATCAAAGATTCAGAATGGACAGGTGATAATGATGTAGATCAAATTGAGAAAGATGATTGTAAAAGTAAAATAATAACGGACGAAATTGCAAATAATAACGATAATAAAGGTGGAACTATAGAAGAAAGCAAAATAGGTTATACTTCAAATATTGTGAACAAGCATGGTTTTAAAATGATTAAAACGTCAATGCTGCAAGGTATTGATGCATCAATAGATAATGTAATGATGGCAATTAAACAAGAAACTATCAATGGTGATCTTACTAAAAACAAGTTAACCAAAAAATGTTCACGGACGATAGTAATGTCTTCGAAAGGAAGAGGTGTTAAAACCACAAAGAATGAGTGTATGGCTGAATCATCTGATAGTAATCAGGTTGTGAAAAAAGTTAAAAGTGAAATAAAGTCGGAAAAAGGAATTCAATCAATAAAGGTAATTACATTTCTTTTAATAATTAAAATAATTTCTCATTTAGTTAAGTATACGGTGTACTTTACATCACGTTTAATCAAATAAAACACCGTTCTTTGTATTTTTTATTTTTATTTTTTTTGTAAATAGAATCGATATATTAAAGATTATTTTTATTTACAAATATATGTACTTATTTTTTCTTTTAAAATCTTTATTAGAATGTAAGCTTGACCTGGATTGTTGGTTCTTTGTTGTAAGTATATCTCATGATGTTAATTACAAAATTTTATATCATACAAATGGCCAAGCATCGTTAATGTTTATAACATTATGTTTTTGATTAATAGGGCTTTACTTTTTTTACATTCTATGGTCATCATATTCATTCAAACCACATTCTTTCAGAGTCGATTCCCATTACCATGGTTAAATTCACCAACTTATAATAATTCTTCACTATTTGAAACATCAATTTGGAATTCTTCCTTGTCCAATTTGTTAAATTGGATTTTGTCATGGTTTAATTTATCGAATTGGGGTTCATCGACTTGGAATTTACCAGCGACTGATATTATATCTTGGGATGCTTCAATGATTAACGCTGAAGCGTTAAAAATAGGAGTAACGACTTTGGAGTTTTCAATGGGTTGGATAGTGTATATACTATATGGATATTTTGTTTTAGGATCAATTTTAGCATGTTTTGTGTGGATTTTTTTGAAATACATTGAATAATTATTTATCATGCGGTTTTGATAATTTATCAGGAGTGGTGATAGGAACATTTGAAAAACTTTTCTTTTTTTTTTTGTTTAATGCTTCGTGTAAACTTTAATTTAGCAAAATTTTAATTCTATTTTCCGAAATTTCAAGATATCAGCTTATATTAATTTATTCATTTTCAAAAAAAAAAAAAAAAAATACTATTTGTTTTAAAATTCCAAAAAAACATTTTATTTCATTTTTAGAGGGATATTTATTATAGACATTTATTATAGACATTATGCAATATACAATAGCACAAAAATTACTTATTGAAACAAAAAAAAACATTGTAACTGTTTGGGTGGAATATCGTAATAGGTAAAATTGGTTAATAGCATTGATTATTAATAATAATACTTAAATGAGTTTAGCGGTATATTTGTGTGTGTAATTTTTTTTTTTTAGTATGTACATTTTCTACTACTAAATGTCAAAATATCATTGCGATATGACTACAGTTCTGTATATAAATTTTTTTTTAGTTCGGTTACATATCATTCATGAAAATTTGCAGGCAAATTTAACTGAAAGGCTAATTGGACGCATTTTATTCGAATGATATTTGAGCAATCCTCTATAATGCGTCTCTTTTTGAAATATGTGTGCGTTTTATGGAGAGCGTTTTACCGTGAGTTCTATAGGCTTGAAATTGAAATTTGGAATGTCCTTTCGAAGATATACACGATGCTTGCATTTATAGAGAGCATTTATGGAGGAACGATTTGCTGGAATTGCCTTTAAATCCACACGATATCATATTAAAATTTACCTTAAATTTGCAATTCATACATCTTTTGTCATTTAACCATTTCATTTGTATTTGGTTGGCAAGTACTTTTATAGCTGTTTTCAAAATAGTTGAGAGTACAAAAAAAGATTTTTTTTTGCAAATACTTGAATACTCGAA